CCTTCCAGTTTATCTCCTGAAAGAGGCTTTACCTATTCCAAATTAGCAAAACAGGCCACTCTTCTATAATGAAGGCATTTAGTGGGCCAAAGCCCATCCTGCGAGAGATTCTCTGTCCCCTCCAGAGTTAAGTACTTCCTCTGACCCCAGTCCAGCGTTCACAGCCCTGAGCATCCCAAAGCAAGCTCAGGTATTGTCTCTCCAGTCTTCATAGTTGCACTTGAATAAGTTACTTAAAGAACGGCAAAGCAGCTGGACTCAACAACATATGCATGGAGCAGATTAAACACTCTGGTCTTGCAACCAAGTTATGGGTATTTCACATTTTTAACAATTGCTCATCAATCCTTAGAATATCTAGATCATGGTGACAAGCCCATGTTGTAGCTCCATTAAAACCAGGGAAGGTTGCATCTAGCCCAGAGAACTTTAGGCCATGTCACTCCTGTGTCATCGTTGTAAGTGTGCCTGTCTCCACTCGATGGTTCACTCCCGCGCCGCCTTTGCCCGAGCAGCTGACCTTGCTTACCAGGGAACCTCGTGTAGACTCCAGAGGATACCTCGATTTACCTTCAGGGTGTCCCCCAAACTTTCCTGCCATGACTTTGGATGGTCCTTCAGTGAATCCCCTTTGAGGAAGCCTCCAAAGTTGTCACGCATCCCGGCAGACGTCCATGGGGCTCCAAACTCCCCTACACCCTGGCCATACGCCATCCTTCGAGACGAGCCTCAGGATCTTCTATGGCTATCCCCTGTTGATGTCTTCCCCGGTCCCCATGTGTCCTCCCTCGCAGATGGGCACCTCAGGCTCTGGCCAGGCCCAGAGGGTCTGGTGACACAGCCTTTGGGATTGTCCCTTTCAATGCCCTGTGCTTTCTATGGCTGATGCCGTTGGTCCTCACCATGTTCTCACGTGGTTTCTTTCTCATCTTTGAATGGGGTCCTTGCTACCCAAGCCTGGAATGGAGGGTTCCACTGACCTGCTCTAAACAGGGAACTAAAATAGATCAGCCCGAAAAAGGAAAACACAACCGATACCCTCACCACCATAAAACCCCAAACCCCAGAAACAACCCAACGTGACAAAAATAGAAACTGACAACATGACTACAACAGAAACTAGACAAAGAGAGAAGAAAAAAGAAGAGGAGCAATCACGGGGAGAGTCCCATGCCCCCTTAGCCCCTAATGCCCCTAGGCTAGCATGTCCTCTGGGTCGGGGTCCACGCCTGCACCCCAGCCAGGGTCTCTCTCCTCCCCTCCAGGATCTGCCTCCACCCTGGACCTGCAGCACCCATTGCCTCTGATAGGACCTCCCATGCCGGCTCTCACTACCCGCTGCCGGCCTCTCTGCCGGCTCCTTTGATCCCTGCTGGACTTCTCTGAAACTGTGATCCCTTGCAGCTCCTGCTGCCACTGCCAGCCTCCCTGCCAGCTCCTTCGATCCCTGCCGGTCTTCCCCAGCTCGGGGATCCTTCGCAGCTCCTGCTGCTGCCACCGCTGCTGACCTCCTTGCCAGCTCCTTCGATTCCCCGCTGGTCTTCCCCAGCTCCGGGATCCCTTGCAGCAGCTGCTGCCGACTGCAGCAACTGGACACGCTTTGCCCAGTGGTCCCCCGCCACTCCTCCAGCCCTCGGCATCCCTCTTCCCATGCTTTTGGGGCTGATTTTTTATCTTCACCAGGTGACGCCTCTTCGTGACATCACATGGCCCCAGCTGGAGATGGGTGCGGCTGATAAACCGCTCAGGTGGTTTTCCCCAGCGTACCTCCTCGCTCCTCCGGGCCCCTGCAACAGGTATGTTTTTTTTCTTCTTTTACTTCAGTTTGGGGTCTGCCTCTGAACAAGGCATCCCCCTTGCCTGATCCTGCGTCCCTGGGACAGTAAGCTTTATAAACATTTCATTCTCAATCACCTTTTACCTCATATTGAACAACATCTAATACCAGAACAAGCCAGATTTAGACCAGGCAAGTCCTGCACTAGCCAAATACTAAACATCACCCAGCACATACAAGATGGATTTGAGAAAGGGATGATAACAGGTCCTCTATTTGTAGATCTATCAGGAGCATACAACATAGTCAACCACCAAAAACCTGCTTGCCAAAGTCTATAATATGATGCACAACTACCACCCAGTGCAGCTCATCCAATCTCTTTTGGAGAGTAGATGTTTTTATGTAGAACTGTGCAAGAACCAAAGCTGCTGCAGACAATGATGAAATGGTCTCCCACAGGGTAGTATGCTAGCACTGATCATTTTTAACATGTATGCCAATGAACAACCCATAGAGAGTAATACAAGGAACTTCATATATGCTGCTGATCTACATATTGCATCACAAGAGAAGGACTTTACTGCTGGTGAGAACAGACCGTGCACTTAACAACCACTCATATTACTATGGTAAGAACTAGCTTCATGCCAACCCAACCAAGATGCAGCTCACAGTTTTTCACATACAACATAGAGAAGCCAAGAGGAAATTAAACATCATCTGGGGTGGAATCCCACTGACTAGTCACCTGAACCCTGCGTACTTGGGGGTTACATTGGACTGACCACTAACCTTCAAAGCGCACGTAAAGAAGACTAAAGGGAAAGTCAATGCCCACAACAGCATACTTTGAAAGTTGGTCATCTCAAAGTGGGGAGTGAACCCAACTACATTACAAGTCACTGCTATTACCTTGTGTTACTCCACTGCTGAGTATATATACATCCAGTATAGGAACAGTCAGTTCATGCCAAGAAAAATAAACCCAATTCTATATGACAGCTGTCGTGAAATAACAGGATGTCTACAGCCAACACCAAAGGATAGCCTGTACTTACTGGCTGGCAGTGCACCACCTGATATCAGAAGAAAGGTAGGAAGCCAGAAAGAAAGATCACAGCAGACAGAAGACCTCAGGCTTCCACTCTGTGGTCTCACAGAAGTAACTAAATGGCTTAATGTGAAAGAGTTTTTCGTGACTAGTGTTGCACCATTGAACATCATGGTTTACAAGGCACAACTGAGGTTATGGAAGGAAAAATTACATGCAATCAGGTGCTCTGAAATAGACCTGGAACCCCAGGAGGACCTTCCAAAAGGGGCAGATCTAGATTGGCCAACATGGGGATCTCTGAATCACTGGTGCAGGAAAACTGGAAAATCAGAAACAAGCATGATCAAACGGGGCTACTCTAATGACATGAATATATGTGAGTGCAGTGAAGTGCAGACTATGGAGCACGTGCTTGTTTGCCAACTCCTTGGTGAGACCTGTATGAAGGAGGACCTTGCTGCAGCAACAGAAAGAGCCGTAGCTTGTGCACAGTTCTGGAAAAAAATCTAGTTTATGACAAAGACACGGAGGAGAAGGAGAAGAAGAAGAATAGTTGCAAACCATAAAACTGCTTGGTGGTTTGCTCTCTTCAGACTCTCCATCTTCCGCACTGACACCCTGCTTGTTCAGGCTGCTTTGTCCATTCTGAGACAAGGTTCTTTGGTAAATGGCAATACCTTTCGTTAGACCAACTAAATAGTTGGGAAAATTGTTCCTTGCAAGCTTTTGGTTACAAACACCCTTCTTCAAGCATAGGGAGAGTCTGCTGTTGTTTTGTGCTCTCTTGGATGGAATAGAAGCTAATGTGCAAAATACAGGTCTGTGAAAATGCAGATATGTGGCAGTGAGGATCAGAGACCATGGGAGACACAACAGGTGTGAACCAGGTAGATGGTGGGGTAGGGAAGAGGGGAGTGGTGACCTGGTGATATAATGTAGCTGGTAAAATATAAAAAGTTACCTGGGATTGTCAGATGGCAAGCAGGTTATAATGTGCCATAAATCCAATATCTATATTTAGTCCATGTATTTTTGTATCCAGTAGATTTATGAAGTGAAGTTTGTAGGCTTATCTATGAAAGATGTTTTGTAAATTCCCTTCGAGGACTAGAACTGAGAGATTGGAGTGTGTGTTTGTTTGTGAGAAGTGTGCACCCACAGGTAATTGGGTAATGTTTTTTTTGGTATGTGTTGTTGTTTGGTTTATCCTACATATTTTCCATTAGGGCATTTAGTGCACTGGATGAGATGTATTAAACTTCTGAAGGTGCAGGTGTAAGATCCAAGACTGGTGATGGTTTTGTTGTGGGGTGTTGTTATTGTGGGAGTAGTGGAGATTTCTTTAAGAATTGGGTCTTCTAGTATGGGTTGCAATTGTTTGAGGACTTTCCTATAGGTTCCAGGGAAGGATGGTATGTCATAACTAATGGTGTGCAATTTGTGGGTTTTTTTTCTTTTTGTACTGCAGCAATTCTTCACATTCATTGTGATGCTTTATCTCCCTCAGCTTCCCTGGTTTGGGTGTGGCCTCCAATCCCAGATGGTTAAAAAGTCAACAAGGGTGTTCAAATCCTTGTAGATGGATGTGTCTTCTGGTTTCACTGTCTCTTAACCCCTTCCCTCCTCCTTTCTCCTCACATGTTAGTCAGGGCAACTAAGGCATGCATCCTTTTTAAATGTGTTCATGTAGCATTGTAGACACATTTGAAAAATTGCCTGTGTTCACAAGCTTTGCCATGCATTTTACTATGTGTTTAATCATTCTTAATATTGACAGTAGTTGACAGAGGCCACACCTCTCAAAACCTATTCCTAAAGTGTTGCTGAGACGCAGCATAAGAGATGCATCATCATGTTTTACGTTTTTTTAAAAGGGAATGGGAACTTCAGTTAATATACCGAGTTTTTATTCTGTTGTAATGGCTGCTTTCTATTGATGCATGTTGCCAACATGCTTTGATAACCAACATTTAATGTGAAAATAGTGCATGATAGAAGTATAACTGAGTTTCATGTCTAAAACTTGGGCATAAATGTGACATTATCAATTGGTTTACTGGATGCAAAAAAAAAAAGTTAGCAGGAATGACAAGTCAGTGATTTGGACTGTAAATCTCCATTTTTATTGGTTTTAAAGATTTTTATCTTGATTGTCCTCCCATGCAGGGTCAGCTTTACCTGCTGGTGACAGACCAGGGGTTTCTTACAGAAGAGAAAGTTGTTTGGGAAAGTTTACACAACGTAGATGGTGATGGGAATTTCTGTGATTCTGAATTTCACCTTCGGCCTCCATCAGACCCAGAAACTGTATACAGAGGGCAGCAAGATCAAATAGATCAGGTAAATCTATTGTGTATTTCCAGTTATTTGTGACTTAAATAGCTAAGGAGAGATTCGTGTACCAATGATGTCAAAGGAATCATTAAAATTAATTTCAACTGGAGCAGTTGAAACTCAGTAATCTTGGCCCTGAGTGATTTGAAAATCCCATTTAGTATCTTAAAAGCATAGGTCATCATCAGGGATCCAGGTTTTCCATTTGCTGCGGAAAAACACGGATTTTCCCCCCTTTAAAGGAAAAAAACTGCAGGAAACCATGGTTTCCTCTTGTAGGCTGGCAAAGTTCCAGCCTGCAAGAGGCTGCTTGGGGGTGCAGGAAGCAATCAGGCAGGGGGTGCCATGTGTAAGGGCAAGGGATGGAGGAAAGGGGCACGGGCCACATGGTGGAGGGGAGCAGGGCACAGGTGGGGGGCCACGTGTCCCCAGAGATTTCTGTACCCACAGTAGGGCACAGGGCTGCAGCGGGGATGGACCAGCTCTGGAGGAGCTACCTCCATGGCCCAGCAGCAGGACCTGGCACAGGAGGGAATGCTACAATGCCATGACCACCAAGCTGAGGTGCCCCTTGCCTGCCTAGCAGGATCACAACTCTGTGCTGCTGCCACTGCTGTGGCTGCACATCCTGTGTGGTGTGGTGCTCCCTTCAGCACCAGGCCCCCTCTGGGCCGCACTTGTGGCTTGTGCCCAGATCTGGTCCAGTGGGCTGCAGCCACCCGCCATGCTATGGGAACAGAAATCTTGGGGGGGCATGTGCCTCCCCTGCTGTATCACCTTGGCCCCTCTGCCTCCTCTGCCATGTCACTTGTGCCCCTTCCACCCACTCCCTTCCTTCCTCACACATTGGAGGGGCTGGGGGTTGGAAGTGGTGGGGGGGAGCTGCAGGTTGGGAGTAAGGGGCAGGGAACCAGCAGTATCAGGGCTGCTCAGTACCACAAAGCATCAGTGGGGGGCAGTCGCAGGTGGACCTGCATCCTGGTGAGAGAATTGGGTAGGGGAAGCTCTGATTTATAATAGGTCAATACAGCCCCTCAGAATAAGATATATGGTAATGCCCAGTGCAGTCAGTCCCCCTCAGCACCAACTCTTTTTCAAATCATGCTGAGCCACTACATTTGCATACATTTTGACTTCTTCACTCTCACAGCTGAGCTGTGCCTCCTTTTTTCCCCAATTCTAATTATTCTGGTTTTTTCACCAGCCTTAAATATCTAACAAACCACCCCAAACAGTTCACCCAGAGTCCCTCTAGTCCCCCTCTCTCAGCATGTCACATACGATTAGTGTGGCCCTGCCCTCCATGAGGTGGAGCCAGACCATGCTGGCCTGCACCTCACCTGCGTATACATTTTTGGACTATCCCAGGACTCATGACAAGAACACTAATCATGAATGTGAAGCTAATTAGCACATAGGGATATCTGGAGTACATATACTACTGAGCAGTGGTGAACTGTGGGGTCACCATGGCTTGAAATGCCATTGGCTCTGCTGAGGCCCATCCCAGTGAACTGTAGGGCAAACCATGAGTCTTTTGGTTTTGGACTAATATCATGACTGGCTTGTGTTCGCGCCGACAAATGGACGACAATGGCTCATGGACCTACCTTGGTTCTGAGACCCAAAACAAACTTTCCAGCATGTACGGTCTGCAGAATGCAGGCCCCACAACCGTGATTAACCACAAGAAGATGTCAGAGGCGGTGAGAACCAAAGCTGCCATGTCGCCTGTGGACCTGCTCCCAGGTGATGCATTCCCACACAGCTTGACGAGCATCTTCCACAAGGACCTGTATAAGAATCACAGAGTTCTGAACTGGCTGGTAGCCCATTAAGCCCCCGCAATGAGGGCTTGGAGACCTAGAGAGGGTCAGCCAGGGAGCCCCAACTGTCCAAGAGCAACCTGGTCAAGGAGCCACAGACTATCAATCACCTTTTGTGGCTCTGCACTTACACCAAGGAAGTGTGGAGAAAGGTAAAGCAACTCTGTGAAGCGGTGACGGTTTGAACAGTTGTCAAGAAAGGCGGCACTGTATGGGCACCTGACCAAACACCAGGGGAGCCCATTGGCCTGTTTCGATCAGTTCATGTCCTGTGTCAGAAGCGCCCTGTGGAAGGCCAAAAAACCTCCTCATGTACAGACATGTGAACCTAGAGGTGGTAGACTGTGTTAAGATGGCTCTGAGTGAATTCCAGTCCTACTACCAGAAATTGGTAACAGAGGATGGTGAGGATGCAGCCATATCCACCTGGCAAAAACACTTGGCACAGGATCTTCCAAGCACCCCCCAGTAGAGAAATGGACAATAACAGTAAAGAGGACGACGAGACAACTGGATCTAGAGGCAGCGAGGAGGACAGCAGCAGCGGATTTTCCAGTTGGAGCGGCAGTGATAACGGATGAACTGAGACTTGGAACCCAATAACAGGGATGTGGACTGTGGGACTGTGTTCAGGGTAGGGAGGCTGGCGGGCATTTTGCATGGAAGCGCAGGTCCGCAGGTGCATATAGTGTAACAGGTTTATAGGTTTTTAAGGCATGGGAAGAAAAGTGTACTAGAAGGTGAGTGTGTGTGTGTGTGTGTATAACTTCTAGAGAGAGAGATGTATATATTTGTGTGTGTGTGTAATTTGTATAAATTTAGTTAGTCTACAAGGTGAAATCTATCTTGCCAACTGCTTGACTTCAAATTAACATGGCTAACTATGTCTTGCTATACAACAATATTCAGAAATCTCAAAGGAACTGTACGTATTCCTAGCAGAACTTGTTTGTTGATTTGCTTCTGATTTAGTGAGCTCTTTCAAGTGGCTTTGCAACCTAAGAAACTATCCAGCAAGCATAATGGTTGAATTCTGCAGGTCTTGCTTCAGTGACTTATATGACTTTCATATACAGCAGAAGAGTATTGACTAATGGTGAGTTCATTTCTTAGGACTATCTGATGGCATTGTCTTTACAACAAGAGCAGCAGAGCCAAGAAATCAATTGGGAAGAGATCCCTGAAGGAATTAGTGATCTTGAGCTAGCCAAGAAACTTCAGGAAGAGGAGGATAGGCGAGCCTCTCAATACTATCAGGAACAAGAACAAGCAGCTGCAGCTGCAGCTCAGGTCCAGGTGAGCATATATATTCCATGGTTACAAAATACAAATATTAGCTTAATTTATTTTGTGCAATTACATTAAGACTTTACTGCTGTCTGAGCTTAGTTCACCAATACTAAATTTCTACTAGCATGAAAGAGAATCTGATTATGCATATCGGTTTCTTTTCATTGCATGTTATATGACTGTTCTGTGGAAAACATCTATACTAACATAGTTCTGAAGTTGCTCCAGTCTGATCTAGGCAGGCAAGATTCTTTGGGTAGATGTGATATTTTTAGGGGTGCACTGATGGAGATTTTGGGGGCCGATGCAGATAGCCGATTTTTAAGGAGGCATATTGGCTAATAACAATCTGATTTCCGATACACCTGCGTGCAGCTGGTAAATCTGTTGTGATGAAGGGGGGAGGGAACGGGCATGGGGGGAGCAGATGAATGCCCCCCATAGTGAGGGAGGGAGTGGGGCTGGAGTAGGTGCTGCCCAGGTGGGGTGGGGCACAGGACAGAGCCGTGGCTTACCCAGGGGGCACGGGGAGGGAGGAGGAGCAGCTCCCCAGGAGGACACTGGGGGCAGTGGGGCATGTACCCCTGAATCTGGGTGGGGTGGGCTGCAGCTGTGGGCTGGGGCTGGGGGGCCATGCTATGCTTTTCCCGGCGGTGGGGACTGGGCCACGCTGTGCTTGGGGCAGCATCACTGGGAGGGGTTATGGGGGGAGGCTGCAGCCACCCCAAATTTTGCTGTAGCCCCCCCAGTAGTCCCCTTCCAGTGCCACTGCCGTCCACCCCAAACGCAGCATGGCTCAGCCCAGCCTCACTCTGGCACTGCCCCCACACTGCCCCGCCCAGATCCAGGGGCACATGCCTTCCCCCCACCCCGCTGCCCTCCCAGGGTGCATGCAGCAGCAGTAGTTGCCCCCCCACCTTCCTGTGCTCCCTGAATGAACCACAGCTCCATCCTGTGCCCCGCCCCAGCTGGGCAGCACCTACCCCAGTTCCCCTCCCTCCCTCACTACAGGGAGCATTGATCTGCCCTCCATGCCCCTCCCCACCTTCCACCACAACAGACTTACCAGCTGCACACAGCTCTCCAAACTTCCAGGCCATGCTTCCCAACCACTATGTGCTATGCTGTGGCTGCATGCACGCCTGGGCATTTATCGGCCAAATTATCAGCCACAACTGGCCGATTTCTGATATAGTCCATTTTCTTTATATTGGTGCCAATCTGATATTGGACCGATGTATTGGTGCACCTTTAATATCTTTTATTAGTCCAACTGAGTAGTTGGAAAAAAGTTCTTTGCAAGCTTTTGGGCACAAGCACACTTCTTCAGGCATACAGAGTTTCTGGTGTTCTGAGATCTCCAAAGAATGAAACAAGCTAAAAGTGACAAAATGTCAGTGAGAATGTAAATAGATGGAAATTAGGAAAAACAAAGGGTAGGGAAGGGGTGGGAGGGAAGGAAACAAGGAGGAAATAATGCCAAAGATAAGGGCGACTCTACTGTAGTTGAGCTCTCCAAGGTAGAAAAGAGGCAGTCTGTGAAAAAGTAAGTGGCTGAAAATTAGGAAGACAAAAGGGTAGGAAAGAAGTGGGGGGAAGAAAAGTGTAAAAGGTAAGGTCAGGCAAGTACCTGGTCAATCAGATGTCAGGAAGGTTGTAATGTGTCATAAAACCAGTGAATATATTGAGTCCATGACCAATATCCAGTAGATTTGTGAAGTACAGTTTGTGTTCAGGGTAAGGAGGCAATTATTTCAGGCGGAGGGCCGCTTACTCAGTTTTGGCAGGCTGTCGAGGGCCGCATGGGTAGCCTCGCCCCTTGACAGGTGCCCCACTCCCTGGTCACCATCTTGGGACCAGTGTCCCAATGTCTTTGGTCCCAAGACATTGGGACATTGGTCCCATGTCCTAGGGCTAGCACTGGTGGGGCCCAAAGCAGGGCACAGGTTGGCAGGGGTCTGTGAAGCTGGGCTGGGCTGCACCAGCAGGGAGAGGAGGGAGCCTGGTGCTGCTCCATAGAGCCCCTGCCGGCCAGGACCCTGTACTCCTGCTACCCTGCTCTGGGCCTTGCCAGCACTGGCCCTGGGACACCGGTGTGGGCCCCGTGCTCCCACTGACTTCCTGCCCACTTGCTCCCAGTGCCCCCCAGCCCTGTGGTACAGGCGGGGGGCAGCGCACAGTCCCAACCCCCTGCTCGCCAGCAGGGAAGAAGCTGGTGCTGGGCACGGGGAAAAGTGGCCCCTCGCCCACCCTGTGGCTGGCAGTCCCTGCTGCAGGTGCTCTCAGCCCACACAGGGCTGTCCTGAGCAGGCACAGGCAGCCCCATGCAGGCTGCAAGCAGCTGCAGCACAGGGCGCCGACCACGGGGCGAGTGAGGGGCCGCTTTTCCCTGCGCTCAGCACCAGCTTGTAACCCGGCCCTGCTGCCAGCCTGGGTTCTGCGCCATCTCTGGGATCACCTGTCAGGGCTGTGCCCAGCAGCTGCAGCCCCCCTGCTTGCTGCGCTGGGCAGTGTTAGCTGCTGCTGCCCGCCCAGAGCTCGTGCACTGGGCAGCACAGAGGTGGTGGTGGCAAACACTGCCTGGTGTGGCAAGCAGGGGGGCCACAGCTGCTGCTGCCACGTGCAGCCCCCACAGGCGAGCCTGGAGCCGCACAGGGCCCAGGCTGGTAGTAGGGCTGGGTTACAAGGCGGTGCTGAGCGCAGGGGGGGGAAAGCGGCCCCTTGCCCGCCCCATGCCTGGCGCCCCATGCTGCAGTTGTTCGTAGCCCACCTGGAGCTGCCTGTGCCTGCTCAGGGCAGCCCCGCGTGGGCTGTGAGTGGCTGCAGTAGGGAGCACCAGCCACGGGGCAGGTAAGGGCCGCTTTCCTCCGTGCCGTGAAGGAGCAGGGAAGGAGCCTGGGGAAAAGCTGAGCGTAGGGGGGGGAAGTGGCCCCTCCCCAACCCCGTGGCCAGTGCTCCCTGCTGCAGCTGCTTGCAGCCTGCGTGGGGCTGTCCACTTCACTACTTCCACGCTCAGCTTTTCCCTGGGCCACTTTTCCCCAGGCTCCTTCCCTGCCTGGGGTCCTTCCCTGCCCTCCCTTACCTGCAGTTCTGATGCAGGGCAGCCTCATGGTCCCAGGCCAGAAGCTGGGGCCAGGGCCGGGGCCAGGTGGGCCCTGCTGTTGTGGGAGCCCACCGGGTTTCCCCTGGGTCCTACTGCCCTTGGTTCCTGTCATTTTTGACAGGAACTAAGGGCAGAGAAATATGAATTTTCAAAATTTTTAGGGGCCTTGCAGGCCAGACAGAATGGCCTCATGGGCTGGATCCAGCCTACAGGCCATATTTTGCCCACCCCCGTCGTAGGCTCATCTACGAAAGGTGTTTTGTAAGTTTGTTTTGAGGATTAGAGCTGTACCCTTTGAACCCTGTGCAGCAAGTGATGATTGCATAACAAACTTCAGATAAAATCATCATAAATATGAGAATTCACACGTTAATCCCAGTTTGTCAAGTAAATGAATTAATCCATGCCACTAACGGCTAGGCTTTTAAATAATTATTTTACAATACTTTTAAATGGGGACACTAGGGTAGTTTGCATTATAGGAAGCTGTATTTAGAAGAAAGTAGTAGCATGCAGTTTTCATTGATATTCTGGAGAAGAATAGAAAGCTCATCAGGAAATATTTTTGAGATGATAAAACAATCTTATAATTAAATCTGAGAGCCATGTTCTGTGTTTTTCTACTAAGGAGCTTTTAGGTCTTTATTAGTGTTGGTAAATATAGCAGAATGAACTTTAACCTCTTTTTCCACTCTGAAGTCATGACTGGAAATATTGCTGAATAAAATTTTGCATGTCTCAAAGGGTCACTTAAGCCTGTTTTCAGTTGCATATGACTTTGTATTAGGACTGTCAAGTAATCGCCATTAGCGTGCACGATTAATGCAAGAACCAATTCCAGACATGGTTTTGGAGTCATTGCCCTGCCCCACTACCATCAACAGTTCTTCCAGGGTGCCCAGTGAGGCAGCAGTGGCAGTGCAGACAAACTGTAGGGAAGCCTGGGCACGGGCTTTGGACGGCTGCAGCAGAAAGTGGCGGGGGGGGGTTGCACCCCTATCCAGGGCCCCGAGCAGCCAGGCTGGTAGCACTGGGGATTCGTGGAGGGCAGCGCTAAGCCATGGCAGGGATGCCTGGCACCCTCAGGCCCCATGGCTTGGGCTCAGGGCAAGTCAGGAGTGCCTGGGAGCTCCAGCATGAGCCACCTCTGGGCCTGCAGCTCCCTGCGCATCCCTGGTTTGGGCCCCCAGGGAGCAGTGGCAACGGTGTCCCCATGCCCTGCTGAGGTAGCTGCTGCCAGCAGTTAGGGGTGGGATTCCCACAGAGTCCCTGGCCCATGCAGCACATGCCCAGCCCTAGTCCCATGCCAACAGAGCCTGAGCCGCGCCCAATGCCAGACAGGGCCACTGCTCTCCTCCCTGTGCCTCCCAGGCTCCTGCCAGGACCCGCATGGAGCAACCAAACCTGCCAGGTCCCAGTGGGAGCCTGGGTGGCACAAGGAGAGCAGCAGCTGTACCTTACTTGGGCTCTTTCGGTGCTAGGCTGGGGCCGAGTATGTGGCACAGCGCAACGTGGCATGGGCTGAGGGAGGTGGCTCCACAGAAATCCCACCCTTTGTCAGGCTAAGGAAGTTTCAGCAGTTGGTGCATGCTCTTCCTGGATGGAATGAAAAGAGCACACATCAACTGCTGAAACTTCCTTAGCCTGATGAAGGGTTTTGAACCTGAAAGCTTGCTTAAAAATTGTTCTCCAGCTATTTAAGTTGGTCTAATAAAAGATATCAGATTCACCCAAAGAACCTTGTCTGCCTATTTCCTTAGACCAACGTGGCTACAACCGACACCCCTAGCTCAAAACAATTCATTAGCTTGTAGGATTGACAGATGACAGAACATTCAAAATTGACTTGAAGGTCTTTTAGTTTGAAAGAAAAAATATGCTAAAGAAAAACACATTTTATCAAATCATAAAATGGGTTTAGAATAAGATACCTCAAAATGTGATATAATCTGCCCCCTTCACCCCGCCTACTCAAATTAAGATTATCCTGTTTCAAATGTGCTTAAACCATCTCAGCCAAAAACTTAACCTTCAGTAATGAAGACTTTACAACATCTCTAGTTGGTATACTTTGGTGTTTAACCACTCTTATAGTTAGAAAGTTCTTCCTATGGTCTAACATGAATTTCCCTTGTAGTTTAAGAAAGTTTCTTATTTTGTCCTGTCCCATTTGGACACACAATAATCCATAATCATCCTCTTCATAAAAAGTAGACTTTAATATTTGAAGACTGTTATGAGTCTTCTCTTCTCCAGACTAAGGATCCCCAGTTCTTCCAATCTGTTATCTGTACTGTGTCTTTTTGATCTCTAATAATTTTTATTACTTTCCAAAACTGAGCACCATAATACAGGGGAGGATTCACCAGTATTCAGTAGAATGGAAGAATTGCATCTGGTGACTGCATTAGATGCCTTTCCCGATTTTTTTTCCTCTTTTTACCCTAACCTAGAGGTTTTGAAGAAATCTACTGCCCACTTCATTCTGTAGCTCAGAACAAGGCAACACTGCCTCCTTTTTCTCATGCCTGTCCTTCCAGAACAAGATTTACCCATCCAGGACAATGTTCCAATCATGTGAACCATGCCATTTGTCTGTTATGGCAGTAATATCATCATTTTGTGTGTGCACTATGATTTCTAATTCTTCCTGATTTATTCCCCACTTTTCTTATATTAGTATGTAAACATCTTGGGTTGCCATGCTTAATTCCTTTTTACAGCCTTGTTTCCTTTTCTGAAAACTCTGTATTGTTTTCCTGCTCTTGGCCTTTGTCCCTCAGTCATCTCACTTTTTTAGCAATGGGTTTTTGTCTCCATGCCCCACTAACCCTAGTTTGAAGCTATTCTTGTTTGATTAAGGAGCCAAGATGCAACAATATTCTGTCCCCTCTTCATTATTTCAGCATAAGTAATTTCGAGGTAATTTATGATAGATGCTTTAAGTACTTAGTGTTGGGCTTTTCACACTGCAGATTTTGTTCTATTTTTAGCCAACTGAGGTATCCACCATGCCTCTGCATAATTTCTAAATATCCAAATATGGGACTTACAGGAATTTGTACTTTTGCATAAAATTACATAAATCCATTCTTTTTGTCATTTTGCATCAAAATGTCATATTAGAAGTAGATGGCAATATAATTTTTTTTTCCCTGGGGTGGTTTGGTAAGGGAAATAATTAGGCTTAAAACAGCACAAAATACAGGTCTAATGCCTGTTTTTGAGGGCTGTTTCTTTTCTCATCCTTTCACCAGAGCAACAAATTTAAGTTTATCTCTTTTGTTTTTTGGCGGGGAGGGGGAAGGTTATTCTTTGCAATATTTGTGATTTTAAACAATCTTTCTTGTAGCAGGTACAAGGAGCAGCTTCTCCAGCAAGCGGAAGACAATCTGGGAGCAGTGAACGCAAACGAAAAGAACCTCGGGAGAAGGAGAAAGAGAAAGAGAAGGAGAAAGAAAAAGAAAAGAACAGTTGTGTCATTTTGTAACAGGAGATGGATTGTTGCCTGGAGCCAAGTGCACGTCGTCGGAAATAAGAACAAGGAATAAAAAGGAAGATAAACCCGTTACATGCCGCCTGTGCCTGATTATCCCCATGGATTTTGTTCCTGCTTAAGGAGAGGATGGGTGACCACTTTGTTACAATCGTACAGACTTTTGTCAAAGTCCTAGTGCACGCTCGTTGAGATGAAATTCCAAACCACAATCGGATGCGGCTGTGCTTTGAGTCAGTCATGAGAATATTGCACCTTGTAGCTGAACACACATCACAGCAAGTTTTGTGTCATAGTGACATGCATTATTCATAATATCAGTTAGTAAGCTATTTCATCTTTTACTCGACAGAAAGGAAGTAATATGTTTTGTGTCAGATTTCTTCCTGAAGTCTTTACATCAGCACAACAGAATCATGGTTCTTTTCATGGTATGAAATATAACTTAGACTGGGTATTAATGGCACTAGAGCCCAATGAGCTTCCCAGCACACTGCCTCCTCAACATGCCCAGATTCTTCGTGTTCAGGTTCTGGTGTCCCACGTGCATTCTTTTTCCCGGGATTACACTGGTTAGTGCAGTCATTGCACCATCCAGCCAGCTTTACTTTTGCCCTATTAGTAAGTGGTCTGTCAAATGTCTTACTGAAAATTGTGTGTTACAGAAAATCGGAGCATCTATTGATAAGCAAGATATATCTTCATTATTACTTCTCTTGCAGTTAAAAACTGGGTATTGTAACTCAGAACTTATCAGGGTTGAACAAATGATTTTATAGTTTCTTTTCTTTAGAATTTTCTCTTATAGGTAAACTGGACCAGAGAAGTTGTTCTTATTTATTGACCTCTTCATGTGGTAGGTGATATGTGGAAGGAAACTAAAAGTCTATAATAATTCTTTTCCTATGTAGGAATGCAGAATCAAAATAACTAACTTAATATCTGCCTTTTTCCAGAAGTACCTTGAACCTTAAGATGATGTTAACATGTCCACTTGTACATTTAAGCAGGTGTACTGTACACAAATACTTTTTTTTAAATCACGTATCTGTAAAAAGCACACTTTTGCAGGGTCAGAGAGAGGTTAAATTGCTCTCTAGGATTGTTTGGAAAGTCTCACAGGTGTAGTATCACTTTGTTTTTTAAATCACTAATCTAAAGTTTTGGGAAATGTCTGTAGAAATAACCAGATTTTCTAATTTATGGGAACCAAATAAACACATTGCATCTCGTAGAATTTATAGGATACAGAAACAAAATATTTGCTGAATTTTATTATGAGGAAACCACAAATCCTCCATTTCAATAGGGAAAGTCAGTAATAATTACTTTATTGCTGATCCTTTTGATAAACTTTATATTTAGCAATTTGTAGATACTTTGAAAAGGGCTGCTTGTGCTGGAAAAGTCCTGATTTGCACACTAAGTCTGGGTAAGTGCATTCTCATAATTGAGTATGGAACCGCTTAAAGCAGCCAGCTGGAACATGACATTCCTATTTTTGGATGTAAGATGTCTGTCGGGTGCAATTTTTAAAAAGTCTTGATTTTGAAACGTAGATATATGGGTAAAGAACTGCTCTAAAGTTTTTTTCAAACAGCGTTGCCATCATGATCAGAACCAGTCATCACACACATCTGTTGCATACTAAAATAAAAAAAGTAGACTGATATAAAGTAAGATTATTTATTACAATAACTGTGGACAGTCTGGATTACTTTTTTCCTCAGCTTTTTCTTTCTATCCATTTGTTACACTTTGTTACTACATTCTTTTTATTATACTGAAGTGATGAATGGTTAAAGAAGGTCTTTGTTGGACATTAAATCTCAGATACAGAAACTTCTTGGCAATTATAGATAGAACTATACTTGGTTATTAATACCTAGATGTACACAGCTAAAATAACAATCTGTGTCAAACAGTTAACTTCATTTCTTTTGCTGAAATGAACCATTTCTTTAAATAAATTTATATTCATATTAGGATGAACATAAGCTTAATAGATCTGCTTTTCTTTACACTGAATGGAAGATATCAACGTTGTATTATATTGGAACAACAAAGGCACCAAACTAGAATGTTGTTTAAAAAGCAATGTGTTAGTGAAGGGATTTTTCCCATACTTGTGTATATCCATTTATTTATTGCCCTTGACAAATAAATGTGTCAACTTTAAGCTTTGTTAATTAATTATTTCTGGTAATGATACTACCATTTTGAATTCCCAACTAAAATTAATTTGGCATTATAGCTGTCAAGTTCAGTAAACCATAGTTAATTGATATATGGGATAATTACCAGTTTTCCATCTTTCCCATAGTATCAACTCCTGTTTATCAGAAGAGTCACTATTATTTGCATTCCCCTTGGAGTGGTGAATTAACTGGAGTTTACTGTAAATAATTTTGTAAACTAAAGTCACAAAATAATTAACTGCATTTACTAGTAGTACCAGAAAAGTTTGTGTAGCACTTCCACTTCATGTCCCACTGACTCTCCTGAAACATAATGTACTGATGGTAATATTGTCATATTTGGTTACAGTGGAAGAAAACAAATGAAATAAGAATGTGTGTTTAAAAAGTAAGTTTTCTAGAGAATTTGGTTTCTCCTCAATAAAGATTTTATCAATTTCAGAACTATTCAGGTTTGATAGTGTTGAATGTGTTTTATTAAGTAAATGAAAGCTACAGTTCTGAGAGAGATTAAATATTAAGGCTTTTACTTCTAGGATGCTGGTTTGCTTTCAGCTGAATTTAAGAGTGACCTAAATCATCGAATCACAGGAGAAATAAGACTGAAAGATCATCTAGTCCAGCACCCTGCTCAAGGGAGGAGTCTTCCTTGTCTAAACCATCTCAGACAAATATTTGTCTAACCTACACTTAACTTCCAGTGATGGAGAGTCCATGACCTTCCTAGGTAATCTGTTCAATTCTTAACTACCCTCATCATTAAAACGTGTTTTTAATATCTAGTCTAAATCTCCCTTGTAATTTAAGTTCTTTACATTCTGTATAGTGTAGACATTCAGTACAATTGTCACTATCTTCTTTATAGTAACTTTTTTGTATTTGAAGCCTGCTATCAAATCTACTCAAGTCTTCTCTAAATAATCCCACTTCTTCTGATCTGTCCTTTTTATGTCATGTGTCCAGATCTCCAGGTGAATTGCAGTGAGATTCATCTTCAGAGATGAGAAGAAATCTTGGCAGCTTTGAGTGAGGGTTTGTTAGTTTGAGTTCTGTGGCCTGGGTTTTCTTGCCATCTTGCAGTATTGTTTTGGGCCGTGATGTTCAGATTCGGCATCTGGGAAGAACTGTTAACAAGACAAAGGCTCTATCCCAGATGGAAAGCCTAAGGAAGCAAGAAACCTAGAATCATAGAAAATTAGAGAGTTGGAAGGGACCTCAAGAGGCCATCTAGTCCAACCCCCTGCTCAAAGCAGGATCATCCCTAACTAGATCATCCAAGCCAAGGCTTTATCTAGCCAGATCTTAAAAACCTCCAAGGATGGAGAGTCCTTTACCTCTTTGGGTAACCTATTCCAGTGTTTTACTACCCTCATAGTGAGAAAATTCTTCCTAATATATAACCTAAACCTCCCTTGCTGCAACTTGAGACTGTTGCTTCTTGTTCTGTCATCTGCTACCACTGAAAACAGTCTAGCTCCAGCCTCTTTTGAATTCCCCTTTGGTAGTTGAAGGCTGTTATTAAATCCCCCCTCAGTCTTCTCTTCTCTAGACTAAATAAGCCCAGTTCCCTCAGCCTCTCCTCAGAAGTCATGTGCCTCAGCCACAAAACCATTTTTGTTGCCCTCCACTAGACTCTCTCCCATTTGTCCACATCCTTTCTGTAGTGGGGCCCAAAACTGAACACAGTACTCCAGACTTCCTTTGACCTGCTGGCAACACTCCTACCAAAGGAGCCCAGTATCCTGTTAGCCTTCTTGGCAACAAGGGCACATTGCTGGCTCGTATTCAGCCTATTGTTCACTGTAACCCCCAGGCCCAATCCTTCAATTGTCTAGGTCACTCTGAATCCTAGCCCTACCCTCCAACGTATCTACTACTCTCCTCAGCTTGTTGTCATCTGCAGACTTGCTGAGGATGCACTCTATGCTATCCTCCAGGTAGTTGATGACTTGCTTCTCTTTTTCCAAGCAGAAAATCCACTCAGATGCCAGGCAGTCTCTAGTGTTAAATTAGTTTGGTGGCCTTAATTCAGTTTCCTAGAGTGAATTCCTACATCACAACTCCTGCCCCCTTCAAAATTGATATCTGTTTAGCTTTAATAAACCCAAAGATTGAATGGACACTTAAATGGAACTGCTCTGACCTGTAATGGTGGGTCTTGTAATTAATGTTAAGATGTATTTATGAAAGCTGACACTTACATTTCTGACTACTTTACTGTATCTGCTCTCTTTCAGTGCTATTAATCTGACTTCTTTCTACAGCATTGTAATTTCAAATAATTTTAATATTTGGTTATTTTCTTTCTAATCCATCTGTTAAAATAGTTGTTTTATGTAAACATTTCTTGTCCTAAATATACCATTTAGTTCTTTCTCTCTGTCAACCTAAAGTGTATTAAGCTATCTTGAGAAGATTTATTGGGAATTGTATGGACCTCATTTCCTAGCTAAATGCAATCTGTGTTTTATATGGACTTCTACTGGCATCTGTTGTCTTGTAAACCACTGCATAAGATCATTTAGGCAAAGGAACTTCTTTGCTGTCATAATGTAATTACAGGGAAATGCAAATGAAAGCTGTAATTCTGCTGTTTCCTAGTATGTCCTTATTTTATCTACTCATATAGTTTTCTAATGGCTGTATATATTTTATACAATGTAGGATATAAATTAATTTTAAGAACTTGTGAAGGCTGTATCCTTAAACTATCTATTAACATCCACTCTACCTAATCAGTGTGATTCCTTTCACTGAGTGCATATTATGACAGACTGTAAACCTTCTGTTATATTAATAGTCTCAGTATAAGGCTCAGATATTTCACTATGCCAGGTATAAGCACAATTTGATTTCAGAAAGAAAATTTATGGCACTAGGGGAAAAAAAACATCACTGTGGCAAGATACTCAGTTTAAGTGCATAGTTCCAGCTCCACTATGGTGATATGCACCAGTATAAGGATGTGAACAGAATAAGAAAATAGTGATGTTTCAGGGTAAGTATTTTTTGAATTCCCTTTTTAGCTTACCACTCTGGAATCTGCAGCATGATAATGGTAACGCTATTTTTTGGAGAGGGACAGTCATTTTTAAAAGGTTGTTATTTAAGAATGGTCAAATGAAGTATATCCTTTCCTACTTCAAACCTGACTATATAGAAGTTGACCTGAATTATTTCCCTTTCCATAAGGGTCATAAACTCTTCTTGGTAGTAATACCATGTTCTTGTACCTGGCCATGGGAAGTGGAAAAAAAAATCCTTAAGCAATGTCAGCCATTCTGAGTTCATGCTCTGTTCTTGGGGTTGAGAGGGAGAATCATGTTGGCTCTCTAGTCACCTTTCTACTTTCCTTCAACTTAGGGTTGTTTAGCACTTCCTTCATAAAGCTACTGCTGCTGCTTATGGTGTTAGAACAGACCTTTGAGGATTGTTTTTTCTGGCCAAGATAGTTAAGGCACATAATGTGCCTGCCAGGTTCTGTCCTCATCCAAGCAATGTTTGACAGAACTGCTTCACAGGATGAGAACGGCTGGTCAGCTGCATTTATTCCCTGCCCTGTTTTGCCTCCTCTCCATGTACGTGTGTGTTCCTTTACTATACAGGGACAAAAAGATGACCCATTCTATTTGTCATTTCAGCTATTCCAAGGATTTCTATTAAACGTCATTTTTGTATTGACTGACTTTTTTTTGTCATCATAAACCTTTTCTTTAGTAACTTGAAAACAGCTTCTGTAGATGTTGGAACTTAGTTGCTTTGCAACCGTATGTGTTTTTTGGTTGTTGTAGGCATTTTCATCCATATGAAAGACAGTTTAAGCAATACAGAATAAATGCGTCTTTGAGTTGTATTTCTGAGTAAGAATTCTAAGTGTCATTAGTCAGCTTATGCCTAACAGAAGTAAGCAGTACTCTGAAGGCATGGAAACCGTTGTTTTGTGGGACTGGCCAGTTGGCTCGGTCTGGTCTCCCGTACAAGAACATTCTGATAACATTTCAAAAACTCTAACTACAACATGGAAAGGTGTAGCATAAATTGGCTGCTTAAAAAACTGTTTCTGGTTATTTGTCCTGTATGAGAAAAATAAAAGCATAAATCAATCCATACAAAATATACTTAAGTTAGTTGCACTTCTTTATTTAATTAAAGCAAATGAGGCAATACTATCAGAATCTTTTCTAATTGCATGGTTTGTATACCTGGAGGGAAAACTGGTGTATTACAATAGCTAATAAAATCACTCTGAGCCATACTGAGTGCAATATGTGAAACTTGATTAACAACCCCTGCTTCAGATGCTATACTTATTTTTCAACAGCAAGAACACTCCCCAAGCTTCTAAAAGTTGCTACAGCTGTTGCTCTTTTTTTTTTTGTCTGTCTTTAATATTCATCCTTTCACTAGTACTTCCTGTCATTGCCCAGAATTCAGTTTTTGGTTCTCTCATTTCTGAAATTCCTAGATTCCAGCCAGATAAAGTAGTACTGCTATCGTGACACTCATAATTGGCAGACTTAAAAACCCCTCTATTAGCTTTTTGCTATTATTTTTTCCCCAACAGAATTTATTAAATTGTTTGAAGTAATCATACGACTGTTTCAAATGCTTTATTTAACTAAGTTGAAGAATAGAAATGTTTTTGTGTTAGCCTTGTCTGTCACTGAAATCAGTGGTACAACTCAAGTAGGCTTCACCAGTTTCAATGTTAAGGCATTAGTGAACATGTTTTAAGATCTCCTTTGTCAATACATTTTTAGTTTTTCATTTTCATTTTCTATTACTTTACGAATGCTTTTGTTTTATAGTTTTGGAAGCTTTTCTTTGTGGACTATTTAGCATTAAATGTATGTTTGAGTGTTCTGTTTTTTACTGGCATAATACCAAGGACACAGGCTGAATTGCTCTTAAAAGAGATGGTGGACATTATGTAGAAATAAATCAAAATATTTGATTTCAGTACTAAAAAGTTTCATTTCATTTCAGTTAATATAAAACCCAAAGGCATGACCTAGCCATTGAGCTCTTGTTTCATGCCTTGAATTCAGGAGTTGGGAAATACTACAGCTGTGCTCAGATTTGTACCTGGTTAGGTAAAATGGATGATTTACTATATTTAATTTTTGCTTTAAAAGTTGTTTCTAGGCTTTTTATGTGATCCAGAAGTAGAATCTGTGGAGGGGATAAAAGGCTGAACTCGTAATGTAACCTATGTTTGTTCTGCACTGACATGGTTAATCATCTCTCAGACAAATAATTATACTTTCTCTTCTAAAAAAAAAAAAAAAAAAAAA